TCACAGGGATATGGATCTATAAGAGATCCTCCATCCCCTATCTGAAATTGTATTTTTGTGTTAACAAGTGGGAGTCCTGGATGGGAAAACAAAGTTCATTGACGTTGTAGAGACGAAGATTTTATTGGATATTAGGGTAAGGCAGGTGGAGGACGTCAGAGTCTGAGAGTTGTTCTTGGTGACTTCAGCGGGAGAGATCTTGAGGATTTTGGCGGGAAGTACTGGTTGTTGGAGTAGAGCAGTGCTTCTCAAACTTTCAATGCTGGTGCCCCCCTTTTCAATCACAATTTTTATCGCGTTCCCCCTTATACCTTAATAATGTACTGAATGCAATAATAATGCACTTTGACGCTAAAGCTATAATATGCGATCTTAATTCGTAAACCATACAAATTAATAACATAAGTATTAAATTTTGTATACATTACTTTTAAGCAAAAAAAAAAATTAAGTAATATGATAATTATTATGTTATTTTTCCTTTCTCAAATTTTTAAATTGAATATATTGCAAAATGAGGTGGCTGCTTAGAAGACAAAATATAGATATCAGCTAAATATAGAAAAAGAGGGTCAATTTCTAATCATAATAATTCTTTATAAAACTTTGCTTTGCAAGACAAGCCCATGGAAGTCGTTAACACTTATTAAACTTGTTCTTAATTTAGTATTAATTAATTAGTTATAAAATATGTGCAACCTCATAAAAATAAGTCTTGGCCAAGTAATCCTTTAAAGTGCTCTGCGTGGTTTTCCAAATATCATAAAACTCTTTTGCATGGAAAAAATCGCAACAGAGAAATACATTACTTACAATTTCCCTAAATGAGAAACAAACACATAAGAGAGGGGTCATAACTATCTGTACCAATAACTTAGAAGGTCAAACAGATTATCAGCAAAAACAGATTACAGATATAATGTGCAGTATTCAAAAATAATCACAGCGATGAATTTTATTTGTTCCTAAATTTTTTCGATTCTGGGTCTGGGATTTGTTTTTTCTCTGAAAGAGTAGTATGTTAGGTATAAAAAGAAAACGTACTAAAGAATCTCTCATCACGAGATTACAGCAAATCAAATAAAAGTTTTTTTTTTATTTGGCTATAGGATCAAAGATAGTTAATTTGGTAGTGAAGAAGTTTTTATTTTTGAGAGAGATGACTTAATATCGCCTATAAATTATATCAGAGTAAAAGTGCCTTTTTTATTATGTCTGAAAGTATTTTGTTTTAATTCATTCCAGAGAGTAAATTAACTATTTTTTAAATTTTTTTTTCGATATGCTCGCGCCCCCCAGGGGATGCGCCCCACAGTTTGAGAAACACTGGAGTACAGGCAACAGCACTGGTTGGTTGCAATAAGTGAGAAAGCTCTCTATTGGCTGCCCTGAAGTTGGGGTAATTAGGATGGAGGTAGAAAAGAAAAAACTTGTCTGGTGGGTGCAGGGGTAAGAAATTAAGTTATACAAAGAGTTTACGAATTAAAAATTAAGAAGGGGAAAATATTTAGAATATTTAGTTTGCATTCACCGGTGGTGAATGCAAATGATTAATATTAAGGAGTGTTGTACGAGTCTAGGAGTATTCTCCAAGTTCTCTGAGTGGAATCGCTTAAGTTATAATTTTGAATATCAAATAATTTTAAATTATTAGTATTATTTAAAAAAATTTTTAAAAATTTAATTACGAAAGATTGGATGAAGTTTTTAAGAGGTTTAATATCAAGGGCTTTATAAATGTAAGAGTTTCTGATATATCTACAAGCTCTTGTAATAATTCTGAAATAAGAGTTTAGAGAAACTTCTAGAATTTTAATATTGGTATTAGCTGCGTAACCCTACAAGCATAACTTAAGATGGGACGAAAAACATCAGTGTAGAGAAGTACCTTATTGTGGAGAATCATTTCAGAATTCCAGTTAATTAAGAGGTAAATTAATCTAAGCGTGATCCGGAATTTGCTTCTTGCGTATTAAATGTTGTTGTTGTTACTAAGTGAGTGATTTATCTAAAACGATACCTAAATATTTTGTACTCTTGAGACCAATGGAGTGGAGTACAGAGTAGGAGGCGTGCCATTCCATGCGTGCACATACAATGGCTTTTTTAATAAATGAATGTTTTTAAAAAAGGGTTTTCTTATATTTTGTATATAGTCATCTATCATAAACTATCATAACGCGGAACATATATTTTGTAAAAGTTAATTCGATTAATGGCATTTATATTGTGTGTGTTCTCAGATGCATTCTTATACATATCTAAATAAAACTCTAATTACTTGATTACTTTCTTGATTTTTCCCTATATTTTAAAGTAAGAATGTTTTCTTTCAATTTTATTCATTCTGAGACTCTAAATTCCAAAAAGAAGTAATTGCTTCAGTTAGTTCAGAATAAACAGTGTCTGACGTATTTTAATTTAAATTACACAAAAGACATTCTAATTTAACGATATACCACTGACTCAAGGTTAATATACATCAAGCACAGCTATATAAATTAAGTCAGTCCTGCAATTTAATACCCATCAATCATCCCTATTTAATAGTCTACGCTCATTGCAAAAGGAGGTAAGAATTTTGGATTTACAATAGATATTTTCCTTGATTTTTATTTAACTAAAAGTGTAAAAACTCTGAATATAATTTTAAGTTGTGCAATATCAACATGGCGATCTTTTCCTTTCCCAGCGCACTTAAAGTATCTCAGAATTCAATGTAATATATAATGAATCCTGTTTTTAACTTTGTGTTGTCAATCACATGTTATTGTAATGAACTTGATAATATTAGATATAAATTTTTGTTATTTAGGATGGATGAAAGTTAAAATAAATTAAATATTAGTGAAATATCGATTCGTTCAATAGAAAAACTTTGAAAAAAATTGTATTTGAAGCAGCTTCTTAAAATTTTCGATAGTTCATTAAATGCTATTAGAAATAGATAACATTTGTTATTGAGTTTAAACACATGTAAATTTTCAACATTTACTCTTAGTTAAGGAATGTTGCAAATTGATTTTCACCTCTTTTTCAACATTATTTCTTCTTTCGTAATTAGAAATTGAAATTTTCCAATTTCTATAACGAGACAATTATCCCTATAATATATTAATCAATTATATGGGAACTTCATAATGAATTTTAAATATCCTTATGTTGACAGTGTATAATGCGAGATATTTATTATTATACTAAACTTCCGTTTATCATTTTTGTTGTGAAATGACTGATTAATCTGCGCTTTTTGTTCATTTTGACGAATCCGACATTAGTACACCTATAACAGTAAATCAACGTGCTGCCAACTGCCTGGAGGAAGCTGTACGATCATTCACCGCCCAGGTGTCTTTCGTGCGCGCTGATGTCACCTTCCATCATCCATTTCTTCCAAACTCGCATCACTGTGGAACTGTTCCACTGTACACGAGCTCCTATTGCGCTATAGGAAAATTCTCCTTCTCGAAGCCGATAATCCTCTTCCGTTCAAACTCTTTAAGTTTTTCGAATTTCTCTTCATTTCGTCGTAGAGGCATACTTAGGTTTCACTAAACGTTCGCCACTAACAAATAATAATTAACTATTTTCAACGTCCCACTATATGTACGCTTTCAGCATCCATTGAGAGGGTGCTGCGCACACCACGCCTGCACGATGGCTCTGAAACTTTCTTATTTTGCGTAACATCCTGTAAATAATATTTGCTGTAAAGATCATTTCTTTCTAACGATTCCTTCATGGTATTGCATTTTTTAAAAACAGTAGTGTATTTGTTTCTTTTCACATGCGTATAATATAATTTATGGATTTCGATAATAATTCCGTAAGGAAAATCTCTATCACAAGCCGTTGTGAATGTGTATTTGCATAATTAGTAAAAATAAGTATTTTTTTGTAAATTTAACCACTAAATTAAATTGAACATGAACGAGTTCAAATATCAGATGAAAGGAAATTGGGTTTTCGCCCAAACAGTCATTAATTAAAGACTAACCCCTTGCAACAGAGGACACTCTAGTAATTAGTTTAGCAGAAATAGCTTGTTAATTATATTTTTTTAATTCTTTTTTTTTCGGTTATTTAAATTAAGTCTTAGAGCAGCTGAGAGAAAGCTGTAATTGGGGAATTATGAACAATTTGGGAAAAAGCGAGAACAATAAAAGCAAATAAGTAATTATGTTTCAAGACCCTTTTAAAAATGTCTGTATATGCAAGTTTTATAAACATAGAAATAACCTGAAAAATGTATTTTTCACCTAGGTGAATGAACAATTAAAATACTACACTCGTAATGACTGGCCTTTGTAATATAGTTTGGGTCACGTGAACATGGTCTTATGAACAATGTAAATTATGAATATCCGTAATTGGCTGAATGTAAAAAAAACATTTTTGTGTTGCTTCAGTTTTAATGACTACTGAAATGATATCATAATTAATTTTTCAGTACCTACAATAATTTTCACAGCATTCAAATAAAAGGCCTATAGTGTGGGCATTGCTTTTATTACTTACAATCCTTTCCCTAAGCCACTTTCTTAAAGGTAAACGTTTTGGAAGAGAAGACGAGTTGAATAGGATGCATTAACCATCTAGCAAAACTCACTAGTAGCAGAGGTATAAAATAGGGAAATTCTGAAGCTAGTAAGAACACGACCAATGTTTAAATATAAGGAGAGATTATGTAGAGAACAAGTAGTATATATATAAAAAAAGTTAAATCAATTCCTACTTAGCTCAAAAAAGAAAAAAATATATTTTAATTACTTTTTATTAAATAATTACAATTAATTTAGATATGTTTATACATACGAAAAAATCACAATATTAAGTAACAAAATAGAAAGTGATTTTCCTTACAATTTTCCATTTTCCTTTCAATATAGGGTGTTGGACTGTTTTCTTTTTTTTTGGTTACTATTTATTCAATAATTAAATTTAATTATTCTAATAAAATAGTACATAGTAAAAAGAAGTCACATTCTCAGAAATTAGGCCATCTCTGGTGGGATTAGAACCCACCGCCCTTGAATTAGAAGTCCAAAGCACTATCCAATGGGCTACAGGAACACAACGAACCATTTCCATTTCTATACATGCTGATGGATTATTATTTTGTTTGTTACTATCTATTCATTTTTTTAAAATTTAATTAATGAATTAATATTTGGAAAATCCGGATTAACATTAAGTGTCATTCACCGCAAGTTAAAAAAAATCTTTTTGAACCTGGATGTGGATGAATGAAAAATATTTTACTAACGTGATTGAAAATTTGAACAAGATATATACATATATATATACAGGGTGTGACAAAAAAAACTCGGACAAACAATTTTTTTATATAACTTTATAAAAAATTAAGATATTAACAAATTATAATAATTCATAATAAGAGTACACTCTTACTAATAAATAAATTTAATTGGTTTCAAAGTGTTTGCTGTTTGCAGCAATGTAGAGGCGCAAACGCTTGCAGAAATTTTCAACAACAGGCCTGAAATCTTTTATCTCATCTATCCCATTTCCGCAGAAGCGATTGATTTGGAGAGTCAAAAATTTTGTGTGACTTAGAACAGGCTCTGGACTCTAAAATGAATCATACACTGTAATTCATGGAATTGATATCCATGGAGTAGGGTGGCCCTTCTTTAGATAATATCATGTCTGGAAAATTTGCCTTGCACCCCTCTTGTGTCTTATTGGCATTGTGAGCTGGTGCAGAGTCTTGTTGAAACGTCCAATTTGCATTTCCGAAATGCTTTATGGGCCCATGGAAGTATAAGAATCAAGAATGTCCCTCTGGTACACTTTTTGATTGCTTTTAACGCCCTCTTCAACAAAACACAAAGGTGGCGTGCCACTTGCTCAAATTCCGTCCCAAACCATGAACGAATTTGGATATTGGTGATGTTCAACAATTTCCGAGGTGCTTGGAATATCCACAGAACAGATTATATCGTTTAGGGGGTTATGAACTTGTTGAACCATAAAGAGCTTCTCATTAGTGAAAAGGAATATTTCCCAGTGTTGACTTGCAGCCATTTCAAAATTTTTCGACTTCTTTAGAGCCGTTCAAGTTTCTTTTTTCCGTGATTAGCTAAACTATTCGAAATTTGTAAAGCTTCTGTCCAAACTTCATTTTTGCTATTGGACTCACCGATCTGTGATTTATTATCGTGTCACGAACAATTTCTCATGGAAACCTTTTGATTTCTCTGGACTCGCTTTTTGATGGCCTAACGATTTTTAAAGTGTTTACCATGCATTTTAGCCCATTTCCTGGACGTCGACCATCATTGCTAAGCTCTTTGAAACAGCAGATTGCATCAGACACTGTTTACCAAGGTGCATTAGCAAACGAATGATTTTACACTGTAGTTTCCCTTACTAGAATAACTCTAAAATAGTAGACTTTTTTCACGACATTATGAAAAACATATAAATCGAAGAACAAACCAAGAAATATATTTAAAAATAGTTTATTATTAAAATGGTTGATAAAAACATGAAAACACCAATTAAAAGGAAGTCTGTTAACTATTCTAGGAGACAAGAAATTTGTCCCAGTTTTTAGTCGCACCCTGTATATAAAGGGATAGAGTGAACTAAAGTAATAGGATTTGAATAAAAAGAATGTTCAAGGTGTCTAGCAAAATTTCTTTTTTCAATACATACCCTATTGTTAATTTTAAAGAGCTAAATAGTTTTTATTTTCTGAAATGACCATCGTATATCGGGCTATTCAAGAAGGTAAAATTTGTTAATTTCTTAAGAAATAATGGCCGTATTTTTTTCTTAAATACTTACGCATAAACCAATTTTTTTAAAATTATTCAATGGTTAAATAAAGGAAATTCTTAATTTATTGATATTTTTAACATCAAACATCTACCATCTAATTGTGAAACATGGCTGAATAAATTTCGGGAATTTATAGAATGTGATACTTGGAAGATTTATAAGTAAATAATTTATAAAATATATAGAAAATAATCAAGAAGGAGGATAAAACTTTATTATTTTACTAGAAAAGAGATAAATCTTTATTGTATATTACATTACTAAAATTTAACAATTAAATTGCAAAAGTATAGAAAAATAAGAAAATCAGTTTTAAAAGTAAAATTTTGTGATAAAAATAAGGAAATAGTATAAATATTTAATGGTAGTTTAAAATAATTCTGTATGTTATAAATTAATTCACATATCAAAATTATTTTTGAAAAACTAGTAAACTTTAAGATGTTTTGATAAATGAAAGTAAAAATTTAAATGTAGCTAATTTTGTGGTGGATGTTTTCCCATAGCTGACATCATGTTATTCTAATAATGTTTTTAAGATGTTCTCAAGGATTAAAAAGATTTGTTAATAGTTTCAAACTTTGGCATATAGTCTCTATTTTTTATTCATGCTTGAATTTCATTGGATAGTTATTTCTCGTAGAGATTATTGCCAAAATCTGAACTCAAACTCAAAATCGTTGGCTAACTAATCCTCATAACTAATCTCTCCATTTCAAATCTCAACTCACACAAATAAGTTGAATTTAGATACTCTATAACTAAAATATTTATAGAACTATTATTATTAACGTCTATTTCAATCTCTTATATTAATTTGAGTGCATAACATAAGACTAAAGCTGTCGACTAATAATTATAAATTATCAGTTAACTTTTCTAGAGGTCTAATTAGTATTATATGTGTTCTACAAATTATTTTTATTTATTTTCATTATACCCAGTTTTTAAATTAATACTAACTTTTCTTTAAATATTACTAAACATTTATTTTTTAAATTATTTTATTTAAATATTCCTCTTAATTTTTTTTAAATTAAAAATAAACTTTCTTTAATTATCGTTGTATTATTATGACATCGCTTTGAATTAAATCAGCATTTATTAAAGGTAACATTTCATACATTTTGAAAGTACATTTTTCTTTGTAATGGAATAATATTTATATTTTTAAAAATTAACTTACTTTTTGAACACAATAAGAAGTATAAAATAATGAAATTTATAGAAAAATAAACCTGGAGTTTCAAAAGTCACGAACATGTGACTTGTTGCTTGAAAACCAAAATGGTTGGTTGAGATTTCTTTCGCTAGATGACAGCAGGAACCCCATCATAAGAAGTTCTGAACGTATCAGTCATCAGTTTCATAAATACTACTGGTCAGATGTAGTCAGTTGAGCCCAACGAGAGATGCATGATGTTATCCCAAGAGAAAATAGCCGTAGTGGAATTTTATTTCGCTATAAATTCTTATTGCCGTGTGATGAATGCATTTCAGCAGAAATATCCAGGGGAAACAGCACCGAATGTATCAATGATAACACTTTTAGTGCAACGGTTACATGACACAGGATTGGTTGCAGACAGGAAGCGATCGCTTAGAGCAGTGCTCCGCAACTTTTTTTCGCTAAACACTTTAGAGCAGTGCTTCTCAAAGTTTCAATATTCGCGACCCAATATTCAATCATGATTTTCATCGCGCCCCCCTCATACAATAACAGTGTATTGAATTTAATAATACTCTACTTTGACGCGAAAACTATGATACTACTTTAACTTCTTAAGAGTCACCAGCCTACTTAAACGTCTCGCTCAGCCAAAGCGTTAATTTCCCCGGACGTATATATACGTATTTTCGAAGTACGATCTTAACTGTGCAATGCTATCCATAAAATTATTTGGAAGACTTTGGAATGCAATAAAAGGACCTTGACAATGTTAGCGAAGGATTTACTTATTTCAGGTTATTTCCTTCTTTATTTCTTCCCCAAACCCTTACATATCATCCAGGCTAGGTGGAAAACAGTTGGAATTGGGGAGTGAAGCGTACAACTTTTAATCAAGATAAGTGTTAATTTTTATATATAATTTTATATGACAATCCTATGGGGTCTCTCGTAATTATTAAACTTGTTCTTAACTTTGTGTTGTTAAAGTAACTATAAAATATATTGTGCACTACTGATATATGTATAAGTGTTGTATTAGTATAATATAACACTAATTATAATTATATAAGTATTATATTAGTGTTATTTTATTTTTTATTATGTCAGATTGTATTTTGTCTGTTTATTTTCAGTAAATTAATAGTTTTTCAAAATAATCTTTATAGTTTTAGTTTTTTTATATGATTGCGCTCCCTAGTAGAGTTGTTACGCTTCTCAAGGGAGGCGCGCTGCACAGTTTCAGAAAGGCTGCTTTAGAGCGTTCATAATGAAAACGAAAGTGGCTGATGTGAAGAACTTTTTACAAATAAGTCCATTGAAAAGACCGTCCACCTTCATGAACATCATTAGAGGATTCATATCCTTGCTGAAAGTGATGAAAGGTACGCTTGGTTGTTAGCAAGATGGCGCAATCACACATCACGGGACAGTACGGGTATTTTAATTGAATTTTTCGATGACCCCCGTCATTTCCAAAAGACTTTGGCCAACTCATTTACAGGACTGGTCAATTCAGGATTTTTTTCTTTGAGAATATCTGAAAAAAGTCACCTTCAGGAATAATCCCCATACTTTTGATGAGCTTATGAGTAACATTCTTCATGCAATATCGGATATTCGTAAAGAGTCAACTAATTTGGAAAAAAAAGAGTTCGATTGTGTGTACAGGAAAACGGATATCATTTTGAACGTTTACTGTAATTTGACAATGTCTGACACTCGACAATAAAGTTAACCGTTCAAACTGTGTTTTTTCTTCATTATTTTTGTTAACATAATTCATTAGTCTTTAAAACTCCCCCACAAAGGTTGATGTGTGTGACGTTTGAAACATCCAGTTCCTGATTAAAAGTGCAGACAATTTTGTGTTATTAAACACACAAACGTTATTCATTTGGACTAACATATAGAAAATCTAACAATAATCTAATATTTCATCTAACATAGCAAATTGATTTTCACTGAACCACTAACTTATTGTTATTTTCTTGTATTTTATTATTTTTCCTTAAATTAATGATTGAATGATGCTTCGAATTTTAATGCAAATTAAGAATCCTTCAAAAGTGTAATTTTATAGTGAAAAATTAAATCT